GAAGAATCGTAAACTCTTTTGAATATCCAACAAATCTTTCTCTGCAGATTAGACCAATACGAAGTCGCACCGTTGATTACGTACTGTACTGTACATGATACAAGACCCGCTGCCGTACTAGCCAGCAAGTACAGCGGTGGGGAGGTATATGTTTCAACTGATGGATCGCGCCGAGCAGTCCAACGGCAGCTTGGGGTACAATAGTTGGAAGATTTGATGTTGTATGTGGCATACATATATGTATAGCAGCTGAACTGTGATTGACACCAGGAAAAATAACTGCAACTCGCAACGCTAATGTAGGTTAACTGTAGTAGGCATCGTGGTTCGTAATCTCCCTGACCGTAGCGTGTGACGAGAGCAAATGGGACGTTGGCGCAATGACTCGGGTACAAAGTAACCCTTTGATTTGCAAGATCATATTACCAGTAATGATGTGGGTAAGTCATCCCTGATATGTGGAATAGGAAGTACTAGTAATGCGACGTACTTGCTTCTCCACTTATTTGACAGACTGGTAACCATACGTTTGTTTCTAGAGTGGTTACTGGGAATCACCTTCTGAGGCTCTAGGATGACTAGTACTACGTTTTGCAATATATAGCGCTACTAGTACTTCCAAGTTAGCGTTATATGGTTACCGGTACTTATATCTCGAATTATACGGATTACTTTGTATGTTTCCGTGGAGTAAGTAGCATTCTTCACTCTACGCTCAGCGTCTACAAGCGACAATACCAGGTGCAGAGTCGGTTGGGACTTAGGGGAAGGGGAACATGACGAACTTGGAGCCGAGGGTTCTCCGGTGCTTCACCAACAGTCCAGTTACTAGTATCTGATTGGTTCTGGATTAGCTAGCACCTTTTTCATTCAATTTAGCGTACTTTGGACAGAGGCTCAATAGCCAATAGCGAGCCGAAGTGGGCTCTCAGTGCGCAATATCATTGGCCTGCCATTACGAATCGAACACGGGGTGAGCGACTGGCCCACATGAAGCGCTATTTGGGCTGGTGGAGTGCAGGAACTCAAATTTGGTTACAATCGCCAATGAAATCCCATGTAAGAGTGTAAGTCAACCGTGAGAGTTATTGGTAGTGCGACAAGCGCAAGGACTTTAACTGCCCCCTTGGCCCCGGGGAGGTATCTATTGCCGCCCTCCGAAGGCGAACTCAGACTAAGCACCGGAGAACCCTCGGCTCCAAGTTCGTCATGTTCCCCTTCCCCTAAGTCCCAACCGACTCTGCACCTGGTATTGTCGCTTGTAGACGCTGAGCGTAGAGTGAAGAATGCTACTTACTCCACGGAAACATACAAAGTAATCCGTATAATTCGAGATATAAGTACCGGTAACCATATAACGCTAACTTGGAAGTACTAGTAGCGCTATATATTGCAAAACGTAGTACTAGTCATCCTAGAGCCTCAGAAGGTGATTCCCAGTAACCACTCTAGAAACAAACGTATGGTTACCAGTCTGTCAAATAAGTGGAGAAGCAAGTACGTCGCATTACTAGTACTTCCTATTCCACATATCAGGGATGACTTACCCACATCATTACTGGTAATATGATCTTGCAAATCAAAGGGTTACTTTGTACCCGAGTCATTGCGCCAACGTCCCATTTGCTCTCGTCACACGCTACGGTCAGGGAGATTACGAACCACGATGCCTACTACAGTTAACCTACATTAGCGTTGCGAGTTGCAGTTATTTTTCCTGGTGTCAATCACAGTTCAGCTGCTATACATATATGTATGCCACATACAACATCAAATCTTCCAACTATTGTACCCCAAGCTGCCGTTGGACTGCTCGGCGCGATCCATCAGTTGAAACATATACCTCCCCACCGCTGTACTTGCTGGCTAGTACGGCAGCGGGTCTTGTATCATGTACAGTACAGTACGTAATCAACGGTGCGACTTCGTATTGGTCTAATCTGCAGAGAAAGATTTGTTGGATATTCAAAAGAGTTTACGATTCTTCCTGCCTGGGTTGCCTTAAAAACCTGGCACTGGCCTGCAATCTTCCACTTTCCGATTCAACCCTTCAACCACTTATCTTCTTCAAACCTCAGCTACCCAACTGCAACCTCCCCCTTCATCAACAATTCTGCTCGTACAGTCGCCCTGGCCTGCGTGGTACCTTGCTCTTGTTATACTCGATCCTCTGCTTTTCCATCGTCGACGTTACCATGGCTGCGACAAATCAATCGATGTCGCGGATGCCGTTGCGCGTGGCCGACCTCTGCATCCTCTGCATCACTGACCTTCGTATCACCCTCATCAACCAACCTCTATCCTTTGCATCAATTGTCTCCGCATCAACCGATCTCTGCGTAAGCACCAACCGCCTGTGTGCCAGGCAACGGCTTTTGCGTGGGCTAAAAAGTGCTGGCTTTTTCTCTTGCGCCCTGCGTCAAAGCATCGATGTCTTCTGGCGAGCTTTACGCTAGATCAAGGGCGGACAATCGTGCAAGCATTACAGGGTCGGCATCGTTGGGGGGCAATCGAGAGGATGAACACGAGCAGAACTGTCCATCAAATCTTCCTACCAACTATTGTACACCCCGCTACTGTTGGACTGCCCGGCCGCGATCCATCAATTGGAACATATACATCTCCATGCTCGGTATCGAATACTGGTAAACATCAGAGTCACCCTCGGCATGCCCCTCAAAACGAGCCGAAGTCTCATTCCAACCAAATAACACTTTGTATCCCCAGCCCGGGTGTCCAAGGATCTGGACGAGTTGTGGAGATGACTTCAGGATTTCGGTCAGCTCAACCATCCCCGCCACTTCTTCATCAGCACCGCACCAAGTCTTATCATGGCGATTCCAATGGTAGTTTACTGGTCCGTCATTGAGAAGGAGAATAAACTTCTTGACGAGGAGACCGGGGTGAGGGTCTTTCCGTTGCTGTCTTCGCTTTCCGCGGCGCACACGGGAGCCTGGGCCTCTCCTTTTCTTGGTTTTTTGAAGGCGAGCTGAGGTGTTGCGAGTCTGCAGCAGTCGTCTGAGTGGGCGCCTGGCGGTGGTGCGGCCCTCCATAGACAATCCGTCTGAAGTTGCGGATAGCCCTGGGTTCGCATCGGCTTCGTCGGCTACCCTGAGAGCATCACCGGTCGCGCTAACAGTGTCATCCACGTTCGGACTGACTCCATCACCGAGACCGTTTCCAGATGGACCTATAGGTGGGGATGGAGCGGATGCTCCTGCCAAGTAATCCATGTCCTGTCGCTGGTCCACGACCTCGGACTCCCCGCATGGCTGTGGTACTTGAAGTTCGGGACCAGCCGGGATAATCTCGTTCTGGTGTTGTGTATATGGTCCAAGGAGAGATAGATGGATAGGAGTCCCCATCATTCTGGAAGAGCCCGAGCCGGAAAGTTGAAGGTCGTTCCCGTCGATCAAGGCGAGGAACTCCGGGAGCTCCATCTCATCGCTGAGGGTGAACAAGCCACAGGAAATGTCCATTATCTCCGAACGGCCAAAGTCGCAGGACGGAAGGTCGTCGTCGCCGGCGGTCGAGTCAAGGTTTTCCACGGCCCTCATCGCACTGAAGGGAGGGGGAGTGCCGCTCGTCTCGCAAGGCGCCAAACCGTACAGTCGAAGATCGTCGTCTGTGATCAAGCCGTGTTCTTGTGGGAGGCCCATCAGGCTATGGAAGAACGCATCGCCTGGAGTGTCCTCGGAAAGAGTCATCTCGTGAAGTCGAAGGCCGCGCTCGTTGGCTGAGTCGGGATGCAGCCTGTGGTCCATTGAACCGCAAGGACACATTGGTGCATTCGCCGACGCATGGTTCCCGGGACCCAAATTGAATGCATCCCAGGAGAGGGCATAGTTGAACGTCTCCAGGTCGAACGTCTCCAGGAACCTCCGGGGTTGTTGGATGGTCGGGAGAACACCGATAACCCTCCGTCCCGACATGTTTTCGTTCGAACTCATTGCGAGGAAGGCTGACTGAGGCTTGTGTGTGGAAAGAGTCGAGATCGAGAAAAAGTCTGGCGTCGAGCAGGAGTAGAAGTTTGCGAAAGGATAGTGATTGCAATGGGACCTCAGAGTGGAAAGAGGACGCTTCTTATACCCGATGTGTGTATACCATATCAATGCCGGCTTGAGGGAGCCTTGTCCCTACGAGGCTGGGGACGGTTTGGTCGGATCCGCAAGCCCGGGGCAGAGTTGTTTGATCTACCTAAAAAAAGAGGTCTCCAATAAGAACATCCAACGTGGCAGCAACATGTGCTGCGCCTGACATATCGAGCGGCTGATGCGACAGGTTCTTCATCTCTCGACCCATTGGAATGCTTGTCAACGCCAATGAAGTTCATCGGGTGCCCTCCACGGCCCCTATCACTGCCGCAGACCAAGAACGAGACCGTGAACGAGTGGGCGTAGCTGGCTGGCTCTCGGACGAAGGGGGGTGGTCATCTGTTCAGCAGCCAGATCACAGCACGCAGCGTACTCTGGCGGCCGCGGTACTTGGATACATTGAACCGCGAGATTCTCAACAGGCGGTTCGGAGGTTTCACGAGGGGTGTCTGGCACACCAAATCCGAGATCGCGAGGGCGGTCTTTGCGGCGAGGAGGGCCGGGGGGGTCTGGTCCAAAGAGGAGCCAGAGGGTAAGAAGAGTCCGCTTCCACACACTCATCTCCAGAGATATCAGGGCAGTGATCCAATCTCGGCGTGACGAAGCCCTGCCAGAGAGCCAGGCTTCCTTAACCAGGCTATGCCGTTGAATAGCTGCGCGGGTAAGAGGGAGGAGTATTTTAAATGCCGAGCCATATTACTATGCCCCTTAGCCCGTTAGACTGGCTGCCTGGAAGTCCCTCAACTCCAACCCAACCAATATTTATCCACCCTACCCTTTATTCGAACTCGAATATCATCTTTATGGGCGGAAGGGCGGTGATACTACGGGCATACTGCTCTCGGCAATCAGGCAGCGTCAACAGGAAGGCCTTCACATCCTGCAAGGTCCAAGCCACATTGGTCAAGGGCGGCGAAGTTTCGGCTCAGACCTGGTTAAGAAGGCTGGCTTGGTGGGAGAATCTGCTTGTGCTCGTGCTCCACCTCTGTCCTGGTGTCCTCTCTGTCGGATGGCTGGCCTCCTGTGCTGCCCAGGCCCCATTTGGCGCCGAGACACAATGTTAAAATAGCCACCTGTTGCATAGCCAGAATGGTGTCTCGTGTCGAGCCACGCACCGCTGCGGTCTCAACCCGCGTGATCTTGCGCCGATCAGCCTCGCAAAGGGGCTCTGAAACATCAGGACAAATAGTGCCTTCCGAATCTGGCGAAGGGAAGGAGGGAAAAATTGTGCTGAGGCGACTAGGGGTTCTTGAACGGAGGGAGAGTTAAGAAGGGGTTCATCCTCGTACTGGTTTAGAGATTCCAGGGGCTCAGGGGCTCAGAAGCTCAGGGGTATTTATTTTCCCCTTACCCGTTGTCGGAGTAACGGGTGGGGTTGTGGCTGAAAGTTTGTGGCCGAGGCGACTGCCGGGACGCCGGCCAGCCACCGCGGCACGAATCTGGATCACGATGGGCAATTTCACACCAGAATCGCCCTGGCATGACTTAACCATTTTCCCATCTACCTCCAGAGCGCATGTGCATCCAAAAGTAACATCCCACTGTACTAGTGTCGTATTCCAGCCAATGTAAAACGACCCGAAGCTAAGCACTCGAGCCGTTGGCTAGATCTACTCTGTCGGTCACGAGGAGCTAGAGATGTTGTCGCCAGACACTATATGTGGCCACGATGTGATATTCCGGCCAACCCGCGGAACTGGCCGATATGGAAGAAGCAGCCATGTTCCCCCTCACTTGTTCAGTGTGGAAGTATTGTCCAACCGACCTTCTTTTTAACTACAAGAGTGCTTAGTACGAAGACCCGTAGATAATTTTTTCGCCGTTTTATCTAGCATGTAGGCCGTCCTCAGATCTGCCGAGCCAATTAGAGGACGAAGACGATTCCCTGTGACGGCCTGGGCATCTAGCCGCATGGGAGAATGGAGGCCACCGGGAATGACAAATGCAGAATACGTTGCCGGTCCGCTTTCGCAGGCCATTTGGGCACATTCAGGGGTCGTTTGTTGGCTATGTCCACGAGTAGTGCGTCCTGCTCGAGGCATTCACTGGGCGGCTGGTGTGGCGTAGTCGATCGGCGGCGGTGGACCCGTTCCACGACAACCACCCGATCACCTGAGCAGGACCGCTATCCCAACAGGCGTCCCAGTTTGCCCTGCCACCGCCTCCCGTGCATCATGCACTCGCATCAGCGCTTCGAGACTCCAGGGCGACGCCGATCCCTTGGCGTATACTTTCCTTGCAGTCATGCGGACCAGTCCGGGCCAACACCTGCCCCTTCAGATTTGGGAACATGAACAACGTTTAGATGGCTGTGATCGCATTCATTTTTATACAGGTTCTCTGGGCTGTTTTGTAATACCTGCGGTTCTTCTCCAACCAAGACCGCATGTATAGGGCGGCAAATGGGCATCCTTGACGGCAGCCCATTCTATCATTCGCGAACACATTCGTTTGGAGTGATGGCAGCTAGAGGAATTCGTTCATCCTCCGCCGCGCCTCAACTCGGCGGTCGCCTTCGCTCTCTAGGAAACCCCCGAAATTGAACACGCAATTTCTCCAGTATTTTCACCTTAGCTTTCGGCGGTGGTGGCTCGGTTATAGCCGACGGGTCTGTACACGAACATTTAGTAGACCGAATAAATAGTTACGGCCTCTTAGACATACCTTCGGCATGCGGCAACAAAATCCAAATTCCGCATAACAAGTTGGGTTTTCCAATGAGACGGTCCTAAGGCGACCCGGAACCCAGACAGCGCCCGCTGATACATCGACTCGGCCTCCGTCAGCCGGCCTTGATCCGCGTAGAGGTTGCCCAAGTTTGTTGGCCGTATCGAGAGTCGATGTGTGGTCCCGTTCGAGCGCCTTATCCCTGCCTTCCAGCACCCGCTGAAACATTGACTCGGCCTCCGTCAGCCGGCCTTGAGCCTTGTAGAGGATTCCCAGGTTGTTGACCGTACCGAGAGTCGATGAGTAGTCCCGTCCGAGCGCCTTCTTGTTGCCTTCCAGCGTCCGCTGATACATCGACTCGGCCTCCGTCAGCCGGTCTTGATTCCTGTAGAGGTTGCCCAGGTTGTTGATCGTATCGAGAGTCGATGTGTGGTCCCGTCCGAGCGCCTTCTCCTTGCCTTCCAGCGCCCGCTGAAACATCGACTCGGCTTCCCTCAGCCGACCTTGATCCGCGTAGAGGTTGCCCAACATATGCATTGCGTCTACCGCCCTTGTGTCGTCAAAGCTCTGTCCCATCTTATACATCTCTCCTATCCACCATTAGCACCTTTCCGCATGCGGGAGGAGACGCCGTTGGACAACCCAGTAATCCTTGCTGGTATTGCTGGGCACCGATGACCCAACGACCATCACCGCCAGCCGCAGGACTTTTCTTTTTCCAGCGCCATCCTGTATATGTGACGCCCATCTATGTACCACCGGATGCATGATATAGCTCCCCTGCACTGACTCCTGATACTCGATCATCGAGTACCGGAGAAGCAGTCGAACCGCGTCCAAGTACTGGACCTCGTTGCCTGCGACATCACACAGCCATCCGGGCCACTGCTCTCCGCCCTCCACAGCCGCCTGCAGCAGGCCGTGCCAGAGGTCTCTGCCGTCGACAAAGGCCCAGAGACGGAGCTGGTTCGCGGCGTTCTTATTCTGTACCTCAGCCGCCTTGAACGATACGGTCCACGTTGTCGCGACGCTTCCTTGCTCGTAGTCCACCAGCGGTGAGCCCGACTCCCCGTCCGATCCCATCAGATCGTCCCACTGCTGCTTGTAGAGCCGAGCATACGACGCGGTATCGAGCCTGGTCTCGCGGATATATGAGGCAGCCTGTGCCAGCGCGAGCGGAAGGCCGTCGAGCAGACCGAGCAGCTCCCTACCGGCCTCGTCCATAGCTATGGTCGATCAGCACCAAGCCGAACTCATGCAGCGGAAACCTCACCTCTTTCTGCCCCGCACCACTGCTGGAAAATAGCGTTGGTTCGTCGACCCCTCTCAGCCGCGTCGACTCACCTAACTGCGCCAGCCGCGACAGTCGTGTCGTAAGCAGCACGACCCATGGTCGCCGGGCAGATACCGCCGGACATCGTAGGCGCCCGTCTCGCTGCCCTGGTCAACGTTGTCGAAGATAAGGAGCCAGTTGCTGTTGTCCGGTCGCGCGAGCCAGTCCAACACGTCCGCCACCACAGTCTTGAGATCCTCCTCGCTATGCAACACAGCGTTCCTACTCCTCTCGAAAACCTGGCCTTCCGGTATCTGGCTGCACAGCTAGCAAGGCTCTGCCTCAGCCGGTCCTCCGATCGGCCATCCAGCCAGAAGGCCGAGCTGAAAACGGCCTGGTGCCGTCGAGCGAAGTCGGCCGCCAGCTGTGTCTTCCCCGATCCACCAAGTCCGTAGAGGACGTCGCTGGGTCTTTGATGAGCGACGTCGTGGGAGAGGGCACTCTTCGAGCTTTGCGGTAGCTAACGGTCGGGCTACGAAGTGATTCGATACGGGCACGCCCTGCAGGCTAAACGAAGTTCGGTACGGGCTGTAGTCTGATGATTGCACCAGCGAGTAAGCAAGCGATTGAACATAATTAGCTAAAAGCTCGAAATGGCCAAACTAACACTCTCGTCCGGCGATATTGTTCGCACACGCCTCCATCTGATTAAAGACAGCCTGCGACTCGACGTAGCGTCGCGTCGCAGCCGCAATCTCCGTCTTCTTTTTCGACTCCTCGGGCCCGATCTCCTCGAGCCCGCGGTCCACGTTGAACCGGTAATGGCGTCCTTCATCGTCGAGGTGCGACTTGTCGAGATGGAACTGCTGTGCTGTCTTCTCCGTTTCCGTCGCAAGGTCTTTTAGCGTGGCCCAGATTCCCAGGACGTCGTCGTGCACAGGCTGCAGGGCGGGAAGGCCCGTGCCGATGGAGACGAGGCATTTGAGACTACCCCGCAGCTGATCGCCCCACACGTCCTGAGCCTGATTCCACAGCACGTAGATAGGATTGTTCGCGCCGAGCGCTCCGTCGACGAACTGTTCGTTAAAGGGTCCGATGGCGATCGGATCGAAGAAGGCGGTCGCGGCCGATGTCGCGCGGCAGGCCTACCAGATCGTGGTGGCGTTGAGGAGGTCGGAGTTGTCGCTGCGCGGGGAGCGGTAGTTGGCCAGGCACACATTATCGCCAGTCTCTTTGCTCGTGGCGCAGACGAAGCTGGCAGGAGTCAGTGGAGACCGTCCGCAGGTCCGATATCGGGGTATGTTACACTTTGCAAGGAGAATCAGGGTCCTTGAGCAGTGCATCCTCGTCGAGGCTGCGATTGACTCGATAGTCTTGACTGCACGCTCCAGCTCGGCGCCGTCGAACCGCCCCTGGAGCTTGCCTTTCATGGTTACACGATGGCTCTTCTTCTCGAATACCCTGTCGGACAGCGTAGTGTAGGCGCCAATGCACTCGTCAACGGTCATGCGCAAGCGGCCCAGCATGATGGCGTTCAGGCCGCCGGTGCTGGTGCCGCCGATCATGTCGAAGTAGTCGCAGGGCTTAGGCGGGGCGTCAGGATCGACGGTGGCCATAAGGCGGCGGAGGATCATGAGGGACGACAGGCCGCGCACGCCGCCGCCATCGAGGGCGAGCAGGCGGAGTGCACCAGTAGGCATGTTTGTCTAGATGGAGCGGGCCGGATCGGTGGAGGAGAGGACGGCGTCAGGGGCCGGCAGGCGTAGGTGACGAATGTTGAGGATCCTCAGCGCGCGAGGCTGGGGAGTCCTGCAGACTGGCACAGCTGAATGATACGGCGGCAACTGAAACCACCATCTCGTTAAATTGTCTTTTCACCAGCCATCCAAACGCGTGGTCTAGTGTTAACGCACGTATCAATTCATCTTTTACGCCCACCGGCACCGGTTTTGCCGCACTATTTGCGGTCTTTGTTGGAGAAGAATATCGCAGGTATTACAGAGCAGCTGAGAGGACCTGTAGTTGCCCTTCCAGGTTAAGCCCGCCGGGCGGAATAAAGTGTGTGTGTGTGTGTGTGTACAGTCACTAGCGAAATCGGCTTCCGCTTTTTACTCACTCTTTAATTGTCTGAAGCTCCCGTTTTGGGCCTCATGGCGCTTACACCGTGCCTGCTCCTACGGTCAAATGTTCAGCACAGTCCAGCACAGTGCGTCTTTGCCCTGCTGCATAGGTGTAACGCAAAGGTACCGCTGCTGACTGTCATAACGTTCTTCAGGTCGGGGCACATGTTTTCACGTAACGTACTGTACAGGAAAAAAAAAAATTAATAATAACTGTAACGGTCCCAGGAGTGTATTGCAACTAGCTGGTGACGACTCTACGAGTACACTAATCTTGAGGAAAAGAAGAGAAGAAAGAACCATTCCCCGTCACAATCTTCGTGTGTCTAGATGGGGCCGTGGGTCGCGTAGTGGATCTAGCGTCGTCGTCAGGGGTAACGAGTCAGGGGTAGCGTCAGGGGTCGGCCGAGGGTCGACGAGGCCAACATCGGGCTCAGCCTGTTACAATAACGAATATTATAATCCGTAAGCGAGTCGAACATATAAGCGAGTCGTACGCTCTAGCAAATTTTGGTGGAGTTGCACGCAAAAAGACGTTAGAAGATTGGTTGACCCCCCTAGCATTTTCTTAACGTTTTTTTTTTTGTGTGCAACTCCACCAAATTTGAGTATACTGTACGACTTACTTATATGTTCGACTCGCTTATAATATACGTTAATAATAAAAATGATCAAAATAAACAACGCTTAGAAGGCTGTCATCGCATTCATTTCACACAGGTTCTCTCAGCTGCTCTGAAATACCTGCGATATTCTTCTCCAACGAAGTCCGTATATAGGGCGGCAAATAGTTACTCTTAACGGCAGCCATTCTATCATTCGCGAACACAATTGTTTGGAGTGATGGCAGCTAGAGGAATTCGTTCGTCCTCCGCCGCGCCTCAACTCGGCGGACGCCTTCGCTCCTTAGGAAACCCGCGAAATTTAACCCGCAATTTCTCCAGTATTTTCACCTTAGCTTTCGGCGGTGGCGGCTCGGTTATAGCCTGTGGCGGGCACCACCCAAGGTCTGGTCAGCTCGCACATACAAGATTGATATTGCTACGACGAGAGCAAGAGCTAGATGACAGGAATGGGCGTGCAACCAGACTTTAAGTGCTGGAGTAGAGGCCCATGACGTATGCATGGCCACAGGCATATGACATAACTATGAGAACAGTGACCACCAGCACATGCATGACCAGAGGCATATGACATACACATGAGAACAGGAACAGGGAATCCCGTGAAATAGCCGACGGATCTGTATACGAACATTTAGTGGACGGAATAAGCAGTTACGGCCTCTTTGACATACCTTTGGCATGCGGCAATGAATTCAAATTCCGCATAACAAGTTGAGTTTTTCCATGAGACGGCCCTAAGGCAACCCGGAACCCAGACAGCGCCCGCTGATACATCGACTCGGCCTCCGTCAGCTGGCCTTGAGCCACGTAGAGGTTGCCCAAGTTGTTGACCGTATTGAGAGTCGATGTGTGGTCCCGTCCGAGCGCCTTCTCCTTGCCTGCCAGCGCCCGCTGAAACATCGACTCGGCCTCCGTCAGCCGGCCTTGATTCTTGTAGAGGTTGCCCAAGTTGTTGGCCATATCGAGAGTCGATATGTGGTCCCATCCGAGA